TGGAATATTATTCTGCCATAAAAAAGAATGAAATCTTGTCATTTGCAAAAACATGGATGGAGCTAGAGGGTATAATGCTAAGTGAAATAAGTCAGTCAGAGAAAGACAAATACTATATGATTTCACTCATAAGTGGAATTGAAGAAACAAAACAAACAAAGAAAAAAGAGATAAACCGAAAAACAGACTCGTAACTATAGAGAACAAACTGATGGGTAGCAGAGGGGAGGTGGATGGGTGAATGGGTGAAATAGGTGATGGGGATTAAGGAGTGCACTTGTAATGAGCACTGGGTGATGTATGAAAGTGCTGAATCACTATATTGTACACTTGAAAATAATATAACACTGCACATTAATGACGCTGGAATTAAAGTTAATAAAGTAACATATCCCCATGCCCTGGCTGCACATCAGACAAAACAATGTTTTGAGAGGGCTCAGTCATCGATATTTTTAAAAGTTCCCCAGGTAGTCCAATGTGCAGCCAAATTTGAGAATTATTTAAAATAGAGAAAGTTGACAAAGAGTTATGACCAAATAGTGCCAGGCCATGACAGTCCCTTAAGTGAGTTCTTTCTGATCTTACAGGGATGATATTTTTGAAGGCTACCAAAACTGTTTATAAGAACAGAAAAAATAAAAGCTTCCTGATTATTTTTACAAAGTCATCAAACCACTGATACCAAAACCTAAAAAAAGTATACAAAAGAAAACTGTGACCAAGGTAATTTATTAATAATGAAATAGGCAAAACAAGTTATTAGCAAATGGAATCCATCAGTGCATTCAAAGAATAGTGCACTATGACCAAGTGAAATTTATTCCAGGGATTTAAGATTTTCCTTATATGAGGAATTCTACTAATATAACTCATGATATTAATATGTCAGAGATGAAAAACTTCTAATCGATGAGATGTTAGACATTTGATAGAATTCAACAGTGATGCCTGATTTTTAAAAATCTTTAGTAAAATAGGACTAGAAAGAGGTTTTTATGTTATAATTTAAGAATTTATCTAAATTAAAATAATTATAATGCATATTATGTATTAGGTATTGTTTGTTTTACATGTGCTTTAAGTAGTAAGTGTTCTAAACTTCAAAATAATACATGGGGTAGATAATCCTTCTTTTAATCTCATGGAGAGTCAGTAATTTGCCCAACATCACACAGTAAATAAACAGTGAAGCTTGAATTCAAATCTGGGGAGTCTGATTCCAGAAGCTTCATTGTCAACTACCCCCACACCTTCAGGGTTTTGAATGCCCTACAAGTACTAGCCAAAGCATATGACGAATGAATCAAAGGAGTGGTGTATTGGTAAGTGTTTAACAGATGGTTCTGGGAGGGGCTCTGATTTGTAGCATTTACCAATTTCGAGTATAAACACTCCCACCATGATCTATTTCAAGCTAGAAATGCCACACCACTAAACATGTTTTAGGAAAGCATGCTCATTATGTTACTATTATATAATTTTTACAACCATACAGATATAATGGATGTAAATAACCGTGAGAGCATAGATTATAGTAAAATATAGTAAAAAAAACTTAGGAAGTGATGAATTTTTAGGATTACCTTTGTTTTTTAATATAATTTATTTAGTAGTGTTTATATAGTTTGTTTGTAACAGATGTGTTTGCCAACCAGTTCTTAAAACTCCTGAAAATTTAATAATTGGCTCTTGAGAGCTGGTACCAACTGGCTCCAGTACATCACTGGAATGAAAAGGAAAGGGCAGAATTATCATTATTTGCAGAAGATATTTCTAGGAGTAGGATGAATTTCTCCTCTTTTTATGTTTCTGCCTCAACCCATAGGGAGGCCAGAATTTCTACCTAAATTTCTCCCATCAGGAAGGAGGAACAATGTTACAGGAAACACTCTGACCCCACTGTTCATCTTCACTTTAGAAATAAATATCCCGCAGTTAGGCCCTGGTTACCTATATTATGGTACATACACAAAACGGGACAATCTTTTGGAAACTGTCTTACCTTGTTATGTTGCTATGGCTGGAAATGGTCTTTTTGTCACCAAATCACCTCAACAGGTAAGAAAGACAGTTTCATGGAGCCTGAGGATGAGCTAGCCCAGGGAGAACATCTGATGTTGGGGTCCTCTCTGGAAAAGATGGTGCCCCTATAAGTTTATATAATCCCTCACATGTAACCTCTCAAATCATTCCAAATGAATGTCTACTCAGATAAAAATTCTTTACCCATTTATAGTAATTTATAGTTTACAAAGCATATTCACATATATTATCCCATTTAACTCTTACAAAAATCCTGTGAAATAGATACTACCTTCATTTTACAGATCAGGAAACTGAGGCTCAGAGAACTAAAGTAACTTGCTTAAGATCCTATAGCTATTAAATGAAAGCAATGAAACTCCGACCAGGCCTTTAAGGTCCTTAGAATACCTTTTCCACCATACCAAGGTGCCTAGGGCAGAGATGTTACTACTTCTTGCAGGTTATACCATTAATTAATACCCCACTTAGTCAGGAATACGCATGCACATACACATGTATTATAACCCACATTTCCTTACGGTTATATTTCTCATTCTTTGAATTTAATCATGGTAGAGAACAATTTATTGTGTGTGTGGAGGGGGAAATCCCTTTGAAATGTGAATGCATTTATTAACCATTTTAGCCTTTTCCCTCAAGCTGAATATTCATGAGACCTTTTACCGTGCCTTGCTATCCTTATTTCCTCATTAACTTTAAAGTTTCCAGAAATAAGAAAAGAAACAACTAAAGAAGAAATCGACTGGAGACATGAAGGAAAGTATAATAAGAACTAAATAAGCACATTTTGCATTTTTAAAAACTGAATGTGTATAACACCCTTGGCTGACAGGCTGATCAGATCATCCCTGGAACAAAGAGTTATATACTAAGGAGGCGGTTGAATCAGAACACTGAAAAGAGAGATTTAAGAGGTTAAGAAAGAACAATCTGTTGGATCCTATTGGCTAGTATTTTGGTGAGAATTTTTGCATCCATGTTCATCAGGGATATTGGTCTGTAATTCTCCTTTTTGATGGGGTCTT